TGCTGACGTTCCCTTTCAAATAAGGCTTGTTGCTTTCTGAGGAACAGCTCTTTAGAAATCTTAGCACTTCTTATAACTTTTTGGATGGATGAGAAAATATCAGGCTGTAAAAGAAAGTAGATTTGCATGAGAACTCCTGTAAAAGTGTTACAATGGCCAGCTTCCTTCAGTAGTTGGATGTTTTTCTGATCTGCTCAAAGACTGATTGCACAAGAGTTACCTCATGTTGCAAACGGACTTAGAGCAACATTTCTTCTGCAGTGATGCAAAACTATTAAAACGTCTTGCCTTATTAATTCCAGTTCTGGGTGTTAAGATCCAGAACTAATGTAAGATTTCAGAAGAAAACTATGTATCATCAAAATAGATGTATCCCTAAAGGAGTGCAATTAAATGGCCAGATTAACATCATCCTGTTGTGTTTCTTTTTCTCCACCCTTCTCTTTAAGTGTTCTTTTCTTTCCTGAAATTCTGTCACTAAAGAGTTCTGTACTTCAGTGGACTAAGAAAAACAGGGCAAAAAACGGTTATAGTTTGCTTTTGAGTCCTTTGTAATGTTTGTGTTTGGTTAGTGTTCCTTGAGTGGGAGCTTACTTTCTGATCTTCATCGTGATGGTTTCTTTATCTAGTCAAACACGAGGATTTGGAAATCTTTTTCCAACCTTAATCATTTAGAGCAAGACTTTCAAAGGAACCATCACAGGAGAACTGAGATCTGAGTACTTAGACTCTGTGGCAAATCTCAGAAATAATGGTCTCCTCATCATTTGATAAGAATATGCAGAGCTACCTAGCACAGGGGAGTGATTTCTGGAAGGGTTTTTGTTGCAGCTTTGTATGCTGCCACAGCAAATTCATGTCATTTGTGAGTTGATGGTTAAAATATTCAGCTAGTGTTGTTTTGAAGTTGTAGTAGTTGTTCATGTTGTTTCCATGCAGCAAATTCGTGAATTGCTAACTTATAGCCATATTATATATAAATAAAGGACTAAAGCAGAAGAGTAATTGTTTTATTTTTAAAAGTTTCTCTTTTCTTCTGCAGGTATTTGATACTTTTTCTTTGTTTCTTAGCACTTAAAGAGTTTTATTATTTTTTTTTTTTAAATTTAATTATGTATCAGAGTGCAGCTATTTACTTGTTTGTGTTACAGAAAAACTTTGAATCTTAGAACAGCGATTAAGCTTATATTCGGTCTTGTTATCCTTACGTGTATTACTGGGTATTCACAATAGATGTTAAAGTTTGAGGGGAAAAAATACTATGGGAAATGCAGAAAATTAGGACAAAGTTTAGAAAGTCAATGCAAATCTGCTTCTTCAAACTCAGTGCTGGTCTTAAACTGTTTAGTGTAACATTTTTATTTCTATAAAGAACTGAACAACAATTAACAAAACACCAACCAAGACATGGTGCTATTAAGATTATAGGACAGGTGTGAAAATCATGCAGGCAAGGAGAGAGTCATGTACTGAAGTTAAATAATTATAATCCACTTCATTTGTGGAAAGCCATTGTACAAAACTAAACCAACAAACACATCCTCAAAAGATGAGGATCAACTCGACAGTTCAAACATCGACAATTGAATAGCAACAGAGTAAATGCAGAAGGATGGAGGAGAAGACTGTCTACCTAAACTCAGTAAATTGAAACCAAACAGACAATTTCCTATGGAGGTTTTCTACAAACAGTGTCTGTCTCTCTGTTCTTGGGAATCAAAAAAATCAAATTAAATTTCTGTCCTTGGAGCTGAAACGTAGACAATGTGTTCCCCTTTCAAATAGACAGAATATACTTTGGTGGAATTACAGTAGACAGTCATTTGAAACAGTCCAGAAGGAATGTGCTTTTGGGGGGGAGTATGTTTTTGAATTCATTAAGGACAGTCTTTATTAAGAAAAAAGTTGCCAAAGATCTTGCACAGAGGTGTGTAAACGATTGACAACTACCTAGACAGATTCTTCAATAAGGACTTCCAAATTATAAGAGACTTGTGCGTGAGTGTGGGTTGAAACTCTGCTACAGAGATTGCACCTCAGCCTTTTTTTTTTTTTTTTAGGTAAGATATTTGAGATTATTGAGTTAAAATTTATCTTATCTTGCAAGACAAATGAGGCAAGGGTTCTGAGTCTTCAAAGAAACTTCTTAGGCTATTGTTAATTTAATTTGTTCTAAGTATGCTTTAGCAATATATAAGTACATGTTTTCTCACTCAGACACCTTTTTGTATAGACTACTGGGGAGCTACTCATAGTAACAGGTTGTATAACACAAATGTGGTATTCAAAGTGATACTTAGATTGATG